ATGTTTACCTAACTTACAAAATTCTGATACATCTTGCCAGGCTTTATTTGAGAATATTTATGTTTTAAAGCTAATGTCCCCATATTTAATTATCATGTTTGCTGTTATCAATCTTTTATTCTGTAACAGTGGTGCTCCCCCTCCCCCAAAAAGTGGTATCCCACACTTGAGGTGTTACTCATTCCTTCTTGAACATTTCCATTCCTTCTTGAACATTTTCCTGCTCCTCACATCACCTCCTTTCCAAGCATTCCAGAGCCTCTATTCCCTCCGCGTTCCCTCATCCTGAACTCAGTGCATCTTTGACTCAGCAACTGGTTTCTGGGACTCCTTTCAGCCCTGCATGCCTCTTCACGTTCAGATATTCATAATGACAAGCTGCATATCTTTCTGAGAAGGAAACTAGCTGAATCTGACCACAGAATGCAAGAAAAGAAGGAAGAAAAGTTACGTGATACAGCTAATCTGGGAGATGGTAAGGCTGGAGTTAGGGTTAGAGGGGTAGGAGGAAAGGTGGTGGTTGGGACTGGGAAGGAAAATTCTACTTTAATCGAATGGAATAGCCTATGGGCAGCTCCCTAAGATAGTGTTCAATATCAAAATGTCCAATAAATTGTGAGTCATTTTGTTGGTGGGAGAGGGAGTCCCCTGAGGAAAGATGGCATACATCTTGTTTCAGAATGTATTAGCAAGGAAAAGGGTTGGATCATCTTTATTTAGTGACATTTTTCTTAAGATAGTTTGTGAATTTATGCAGTTGGGGTTTCCTATCTATAGCAGAGGTATAACAGCATTGTCTACACCTAATGGAAAAGATATTCCCAAAAAGGGTCATTGGAATTGAGAATATTTATGGTGTCTTTCTTTGGGAAACAGCCAGAATCATTCCACTGTGACCTTATTTACTCTTTTCCTAGTGTTTTCAGTGGAAAAGGCCCAAATGATTTTGATTTCTCTTATAGTCATACTTGGGTAACTTGTGAAGTTTATTGTGCTTTCATAGGGCCGAGATTTAGGATATTGGAAGCAGAACATTAGAAGTGAGATAAGCTTCATAAAAGTAGAGGCCTTGAACTGCCTACTGAGATGTAATTTCGTAGCTAATCTAAGTGGATTTCTATTTAAAGTGCTTCAGTGCAATGTTATGCTGTATGTAATGGCACTTACTAGAAAGGTGTTAATGTTACTGTTTCCACTGAGACTGAATCAGTCTCATCTTAAATGCTTCATGATTTTATACACGATGGTGTAATAGGACGTCAAGTGCCTCTTCATACACACTTTTCATTAATGATCAACATTTAGGCTTCCTTTTGTGCTTAGGCATCACCTTTTGAACACCCATGGATTTTTCATTCTTTCGCTTGATTCCACTCTTGAGGAGAAGGACGAAGTGTAAAGGGAAAATATGAAGTTGGGTCTTTTTAACCTGGAACATACCTCTCCACACTTCTAGGAATAAAATACTAAGCCATATCCATCTTCTTGGGGCTGTGTGTTCAAGAAGCTCAGGGAACCAAGAGGCCTGCCTTTCTGAGATCTGCTTGAATGTCTCCAGGCTTGTTGGATGGTGTCATATTTTATTAATTGTGCATTTACACTGAAAGAGACGTTCCAGGATGGATCAGAGTTCTTCGTCACTGTGTGCATACAGAAGAGCTCCCTGCTGGTGGCCACAGCCATATGTGGCATGTCCACGCTTGGGACCCTGTCCCTTGACTGTCAGCAGGAAGGCCAAGTAGAGGAGTTGCTGCCCTCAGCTGCTGCATGACAGGCAGGTTTTCCTGCTGCTGTCTTTAAGAAGGGCTCCTAGCCTCAAGAAGACATGGTAAGGTAGAAATATCTACCACCAGGCAGAGAACCAGGCAGGCACTTTGACCTCTGGTTTCACATGGGCCAGTGACTCACTGTCTAACCTCAGCCAGTGGCCCCCTGAGTCTGGGTTCCCCCTCTGAAAACTAGGAGGATCAAGACTTGGTAAGTCTCCATTGTTTTAAAGGGGGGCTCTAGAATTTCCTGATTGCAAGCTAAGTACATCCCAAAAGATGACCTCTACTTGTCCCAACATCTATCTGTCAGCTTCTCATATTGTACTTACAGTTGCCAGGCACTGGTCTAAGTCCTGAACAAAGATGATGTCAATCATCAGATGACACTGTAAGGAAGTACTGTTATCATCCCTGTGGTGGATGCCAGCTGGGGTTCAAGCTCAGACAGCCTGTCCTCAAGCCCATGCTCTTAAACATCACACCATGTTGACATCTGCCACATCTAAAGCGCGTCCTTTTTCTGGTGGCCTTGGGGAGGAGATTAAATTACTTTTTGGTGGAGGAATCCTAGACATGCAAAGAAGTGGCATTCAGGAGTTCTGGCTTCTTCAGTGAGAACAGCAGAGTCTATTTTATGAGCCGCATATTGAAAATCTTTCACAAAACTTCTATTTTATTCTGCATGATGTTTATGAAAAAGCTGAGACATCGACACAGGAAAAGAGCAAAGATACCTGGGGTCTCAGCTGCAATTAGAGCGTGAGAGTGTATGTGCCTGATTACTGGTTTTGCTTGTATGTAAATACAAGTCGCTGTGCTAAGCAAAAAATAATTGTAATAGATTCATTGAATCATAATGCAGCCAAGTTTCACTTAGAGCTTTAAACTTGCAGATGAGGCTTTCCCTAGGGCTCCTGTCTGATTATAACTGCTATGCCTGACCTACTTAACAGCTTTTCACAAGGTGGCTTAAAAGCCTCCCAGGATATAGTCATACATGGAAAATCCTCCAGGAGTAACTTTCCATAACCCCTGATCCATTGGTTGGGTATTCGGGGGGCCATGCATCACATAAGGTAATCTTCTTCATGCTTGTAGTTTTCACCTAGGCACGAGTCATGGGTTAATTCTGAAAAACTAGACTCGACAGTGGAGTGACTAAAGGGTTTCAGATCCAGAGGCATTTTGCGTGATAGAATTTGGTTAGGTGTAACTGATCAAGTTAATGCAAGAGAGCCAGGCACCACTTCTCAGGACTTTGGCTTTTGATGTAATCCAGTGTCATGTGTTGAGAGTCTTCCCTTTGGTGATTAGCATATTCCTCCTCTCCTTGTGTTCATGGCAGGGATGAAAGGAAATGAGATTGACCTTTAAAGAAAATACTCTGTCTTAACAGAAGTGAGTCAAGGGTTTGAGTCTATGTTAGAACTGTCTGTCTCGGTCTGTACCAGGTCAGCTACTGACTGGTGAAAAATCAGGTGGTAGGGAGACTATTCTTGTCTGTGAACCTAAGAGATGTGACCTTGAGCAGACATAATGGAATAAACTACCATCCTCTCAACCGTCAGCATGTCTGAGGCACTGGGAGCTGGTAATCTCATCCAGAATGGATTCAGGAAGCTTAAACCGGCCCCAGGATTAGAACTAAAGTGGCCTTTCTGAAAGAACTTGGAAGCCAATTGCAGTCAACCCTCTGCGGTCAATGCATGTGAGCAAGAGTAAAGAAAGTGAAAGTTATCAGCAAAAACCAGACGTCTGTGTTTCTTTCCCAGACTTGTACTCTTTACAGTTATTCAGGTCCGAGCACATCACCTTTCTTCTCCCATTGTCCTTTCCTTGTTTGTCCTCCCTTCTTTCTCTATTTGGTCCTGTCCCCCGCCTCAGTGGCCCTCCCCCCTGCTTCTCTCTACTCAGCTGTTTCATTGCTGGGTCTGTGGACACACTGAGACCCCTGGGGTTCTGTTCCTAACCTGCTGCCTCTCACTCCTTACAAACTCCATGTTTGCTGGGCCTTTAGAGGACTTTTACCCTTGGTTCCTCTTCTGTGCCCTGTTGGACCATGTTTAACTCCATTCTGGAGTTATTCTCCAGCACTGGGATGTCTGTGGGAGAACAGGGAGACAAGAAAGGCGAGAGGAAGATTTGGAGAGGTCTCTGATGAGTCTCATCTGCCTCACTCCACTTTCACGGAGCAATTCAGAGCAACCTCATCTTTTGGTCCCCAGATCACAAGGTTGGCTTTCTGCTGGCTGGCTAAGTCATCTCAGTGCTTTGAACCTTTCCTTAATGGCCCTGCTTCCCAACTTTTGCCTCCTTTTTTCTGTGGTCTTCTGTTGTCCTACGTAACACCTGTTGAGCCTAATTAAGAATTCCATTTGTTCTCATTTCACATCCTGGCCTTGGGGAATCTATTTTATTATCTTATATGCTAGCCAGTCTAGGAACAAACACATTGTGCCTGAAGTTTCCATGATGCACGAAGAGTGTATGTATGTGGAGTTTGGGGGCAGACGCTGGTAGGATGCTCACTGCACTTGGAAGCAAGAGCTGTGGAATTCGCATCTGGGATTCATGAGCCGCTTTTTCCCACAAAGCGGAGGGCCCCAGCCAGGCCCACCTGTTCCTGTCCATCCTTCTTGGCACATTCCTATTCTGAATCTCGAGCATCCTTAGTCCACGTAAGGTGTCTCCTCCTCACCCACGGCAACTCCCAGAACTCCATGTTTTCCCGTGCTGCCTGGCCGAGTGAACACAACAGCTTCAGGGGCCTGTCGTGGCTTTCTAAAGTGCCTTGTAACTGGCACTTCAGTGGTACGGAGCTCTTTTCTCCAGCAAGAGCCGCTGAAGGGCTTTAAGTTGAACAGTGGCCATAATGATAGGTTTAACAGTGGCCATGATGATAGCTTTTGTATGAATCTCCCCTAAAAGACCCAATATGAAGGCTGGAAGAGCAAACTGGGAGTGCTCCTCTGAGAAAGGCAGAGATGCAGGGACACACCGCACTTGCTGGCTGGAGTAATTAACCTGGGGACAGGAACCACTCAGACCATTTTGGGTCTGTTTTAAAATTTCCCAAAACAGCTGCCTGGCGCATAGGACAAAGGAAGGTAAGAGCAGGAGGGAGAACAATAGCTCCGCCACTCCGCCCTCCTGGCTGTAAGTGACCTTGACTCAGCTGCCAGCCCGGTTGTCTGTTGTTGTCTCTGATGAATCTTTTCCTTCTGCTTTCAGCTCGGGGAACTGCTTCACAAGTTACAGTTCGTCATGACGTACGTGGCTCCTTGGCAGATGGCTTGGGGTTCTTCATTTCACGTGTTTGCTCAGCTCTTTGCCGTCCCTCGTATCCTTTGGGCTTCTATTTTCACCCACGAGCTGAGAGTCACATTTTATGGATGCAAGCTTTTCATTGAACCCTGGCAATGAAAAGATTTGAAAGTCTTTAAGATTACATTTTAATGGGGACGTGGGGAGGCACTTTGGATTCCCCTTAGGCCACTTAGCCTTAAAAGATGTTGCTTAATTTTGAACTCTTCCTGCTTCCTAATGCATATCCAGGATTACTTTTTCTCTGATTCTTCCATTTCCCACGCCCAGATCTGTATTAAGATATCCTGTCTTAGAAAGTTACTGCTTAAATGGTTCAGTTGACTTGTGCAAAATAGTGTAAATCGATCTGCTATTATTAAACATGGTGGATAGGGCTAATGGCTCTGATATACTATTATAGATTATCTAACACTATATTAGGATAGAGTTTGGTAATCATATACTTGAGTAATAGTCAAAACTCAGAATTAGATACACATAGAATTACCCAAAGTCTTCTAAAGACGAAAAAACTAATAGATGGTTTTGTTTTGTAGCTGCTCTCAGCCAAGAAGCCTAGTTTTACCATTTGTAGGTTCTTTTGGTTTCTTTGTCTGTTTTTAAGTGTTGCCATAATGATAATTAGTTTTAATTTACTTCAAAACAAACTTGAGATACTCCTTGTAGGGATCACTTTGACACAGGTAAGTTGTGTGTGGGGTGTGTGCGTAAGTGGAGAGAGAGAGATTAATAAAAAATACTCTTGAAGGGAGAGAGATTAGACAAAAATATCCTTGACTCAGGCCTAAAATTTGCCCTCAAAGGCTTTCCTTCCCACCTCATTTATACCTCCTAAATGTGTGCTTTCCACAATGTGTTTCAGGAACTACTTGTATGGGAATCCCTGGAGAAGCTTGTTTAACGAAATCCCAGAGCCCAACACATACTTTCAAAATCACATTTCAGGGGGTGGATCCTGGAATGTTCATCTTCAAAAGCCTGCCCAGGATCCTTACCCCACTGGCATGTGTGACCCCCAGTTCTATAGCTTCCTTCCATACGATGTCCACACAAGGCTCATTAAGACGATTCATGAATAGTCTCGGACCTGAACTTCTTGTACAGGCATGGAAACATACGTGGGATTAATTGTTAAAGGATAACATATTCTAGGCTTTTAACAATGCCCTTCTCCAGACTCCTCTGTTTAAAAGCATCTTTTTAAGCATACCAGGAGCTGGCCGTACAATGCACGCTGTTCTGTGCTCCTATTCTTAGACCTGCATTGATATTGCTGAAGTGTTTCAAGGTTATTTGGCAGAACAAGCTAAGGAAAAAAAATTGCAAGAGTGTGAGCTCTTACACGATTTTTTCCCCTTTAACTGCAATCATTTTCTACAATACCAGTAATTTTGGTTTTTCTAAAGAGTCCTTTAAAACAAAGACAGTGAGCTGAAAGAGAGGTGATTGTTATTTATTTCTGAAGTGTGTCTCAGGCATCCTATCTAGAGTTTACAGCCTGTTTATTAAATGAAAACTACTGGATGATGCAAATTTGTGGTTCAGGAGTTGCACAAAGAATGTGAAACTTGAAGTTTATGATTCCCAATTTTATCCTAACTTTGGTCCCATGCAGATCTGTAGCATTTCTTGTGCCTATTTATGCCTTGTTAGGTGAGTTCAGCGATACTAATTACTCCTTATGGTTCCACAGCTGAGTTAAGACCCTCCTGGGAGCCATCACTTTCAATTACCTGACCTGTTTGTGTGCTGAGGGTTCACACACAAGCACTTCATGTCTGGCACTTAATATCTCCTATAAGAATAAACACGGCATTAGTATCCACCTCAGATTGCACACGGTGCATATTAAATCTAAGTGCTTTCTTGGTGGGTGACTCATTCTCAAGAAATTGAACATTTGAGATGTAGATTTCACTGGGCGTCTGATGGCTCTGTTTTAGAACACTTGATCAATCCCCGTGCTTTGTTCCCAAAACTGCCCAGGATAGTGACATCCACGTTTTCCCTTCTCCTGAGATACAGAGCCTTCAAAGTGACCTCGGAGCCTGACCACTGCAGTTATGTGACAGCTAACAGGACCCGTCACCCCCCTCCCCCTTATCCCAGGGCACCTTCCCATCCTTGACTAGTTGTAAAAGTAGATATGTGTTATCTGGAAGCCAGCATTATACCATTCAGAATATAATGAGATCATAGTTTAGAAAAGCGGATGTATATGCCGTCAAGACAAAGCTATGAGGTTCCTAAGCGCCAGGCCTGGATCTTGACTAATTTTGAAATGTTAATTATTTTATCACTCTATTAAGAAGCTGTGGGTTCAATCCTGGCATCAGGAAGGGACTAATTTGCTCCATTTTGGAACTGAATTAGCGTTCAGGCCAGCAGGGCACTGTTTAGTAAATTGCTTTTTCCAGTACTAGCATGTTTTCTCCCTCGGTAGCCTCTTTTAGTTTCTGAGCTTGTAGCCTCCAGGGACGGTTGAGAATGCTCACCCTTTTACTATGTGTAGAGACCATGCAAGACCACTGTGTTCTAGTAATTACAGACGCAGCCAGATTATCTCTGTTAAATGTGTATATTGGGAAGGTTGCAGAATTTCTCTTTGGTATGTCCTTTTGAGCTTCACATGGTTTGTTTTTAACTTTGAGGACTGACAGAGATGTTTTCATTTTAAATGTACGCTAATGGAAGCTTTTGACAGAGTCACCCTCTCCCTGTGGGTAAGAAACAAAGAGGGCTCCATGTGCGGGCTCTCAGGAGTCCCCGCTTCTCGGCGTTGTCTGAGCAGTTATACCGACAGGCTTTTATATTTGCCCTGAGCGTGCTGTATTTCTTTATTGATCTTCCCCTAAATAAAATAACCTCTGAAGCCACCTATTCACTTCTGCCCTACCTCAGACCTGTTAAACCTTATTTCCTTTCCTACCCCATTGAACTTCATTTACAGCTTCGCACTGCTTTCCTGACTTAACTTCTGGCTAATTGTTTCTGGCATTTAAAAAATGGACAACATAATCTTTGGGGAAATACGTAGAATTGAAAAGAAGAGCAGGGCCAGTCTCTCTAGCATCCTGCTCAGCCCCAGGTCTGTGCGGCTTTGTCCTGGTTTTTCTGCAAACCCCCCAGTGCCCTCCTGCCCTCCTCCCATCGGAGAAATCCCCCTGTGGCTCTGCCTTCTCACGTTTTTTCAGTACCTTTACTCCATGACATCCCCCATGCAGTTCTCTTTTCTTCCTGAGACAAGGGGCATGGTTAATTTGGTGTGTTTTATAACCCAGGTATTTAGATATTTTCAGCTTTCCAATGAAGAGAAAACAGATGGGTGATAATAGATCCCATAGATCCCATGGTAGCTCATTGTTCTGTAGCTCTCCGTGTGAACCGAGGTCAAAATAAAAGGAATTGGATTTAAATTGTAGCACCATAGAGATCTTTTTGCTACCCAAACAATTCAACACCGGAATGGATTATTAATGGAGGATATGTCATTTCACTCCTGAAGTTGCTTGGAAGTAAATAGCAAGTTGAAAAGAATAAAATAAAATAAAGACACAGTTATTCCTGAAGCAAAACTCTGAGCTTAAGTCTGTGAAAATACCTGGGGATGTGCCTATGACAGCACAAGGCTCTCCTTTTCTGGATTTACATGTAAACGGGCGGTGAGGTCCCCACAGCCACCCCTCCCCAGCACATGGCTGAGAGTATATAAAAGCATCTGGACGCCTGGGTCGCTTCTATGTCCTGATTGGCAATGACACATAGAGTCTTCCTGTCTGTGTCAGGCACCCTCTCAGATTTCTAGAGATCAATTCATTGGTTTTCATCCAAATACGGCAGCAGTACTAATTTTAATATTGGACAATTATGTTTCTGATCAACCAGGGTGTGTAAAAGTGAGTCCCACCAGTAAGTGAGAAACCCATACAGAGCGCAACATGCTATGACTTCATGTGTCTACAGTTTTAGCTTATAAACCAGACATGACTTGAGCCGTTGGTGTTCAATATATCACAAAGAATATTTTTTTGAATAGTGGGGAAAGAGTCTTTGAAAAAAAGAGATGCTACCTTCTCACACAATGCTATTCATTTCTTCTAAAAAGTGTAATTTAATTTTAATTATTTATAAAGCTACTTAATACTTTAGTAAATGTAGCACAGTGCGTTTTGTTCTGCTAATGATACCCTAGTAAAAAGAGGTTTTTTTCAAACCTGAAATATTAAATCTTTGCCATAAATCACCCTGAGACTGCTGGGATTTTTATGAGAAGCACTTGGTTTTCACGCTGGCGAAACAAGACCTAGCAGGATCCTACTGAAAGTTTTATATTCCTGACTCCATACACAGAGAGATCAAGTACATGCCCTCCTTTCTTTCCTTAGTGAGAAAACAGCTTTCATATAAACGAGTCAAAAGCAGAAATAGTATTTCGATATATAATAACAATAAAAAAAATGGTTTGTGGGTTTTTTTGCCTTAACTCAAAATTCTCAGATTCCGCCATACTTTTCTTTCAGACGATTATCACCTCCATCTTCTCTACTCCACTGAGCCCGTTCCTCGGGAGTGTCATTTTCATCACCTCCTATGTTAGACCAGTGAAATTCTGGGAGAAAAACTACAAGTAAGATCCCAAAGTTGATGCTAATGTTCTTTTGCTAAAATTCATGCTTCTGGATGCTCCTTGACCTTCCTCCATGTCAAGGTTCAGACTTTATGCCTCACTGGCTGGGCACTGAACGTATCCCCTGGGGGCTCCCTCCACTCACTGCTCAGCCCGGGGGGCTTCCGGGCTCCGGACCGAATGGGCCTGATCGCAGATTTGCAGTCGGGTACCAGTCCGGGTTTCACTGGTCATGAAGGAAAAATGAGTTGACACTGCTGAGTATTTGCAATTGCCCTCAGAAAGGGTTTTGAGGGAGCCCATGTCGCCCCTTTTGCTTGGCAGAGATTGCCCCTGGATGGCACGTGTCCTCTCTCCACAGTACCTTCTGTGAGTATCCTAAATATGCGTGTCGCGTGCAAGTGTGCACGCTTCACAACTCAACATAAGGGAGAACACCGGGTTTTCTAGAGTGCCGTTAAACTTGTAGAAGATGATTTATGTATTTTCTTGACTGTGTGGACTGGCTGGTCATCAATTTCCTCCAGCAAACAGTGATGGAGTGGGGGCAGTTACTTCTTGAGGGAAGGTGTGAAGGTGGAGTCATCGTCCGCTAAGTAATTTTCCAGAACTCCTCTTCGAACAGGTGGTGGAAGGGAAGGCTGGTGAGCTGGCCCATCTGCAGCTGGGGCAGAGGAGGTGGACTTTTATTCCAGAACTCCTCCTGGTAACTTATAGCCTTCCCTGCGCTGAGCCCCATAAACCCCAATCCGCCCTCAGCAGTATGTCTGCATTTTGCACGACTCTGGCCCTTGACGATGTGCTCTTTATGTCTTATACAAGACACCATTAATGGAGGAGGGCTGTGGTTTCTGTTTCTCCCCTTCAACGTAAAATGCACACCCTTGTGGGACAGGCAGAAGGAGATGGTGATTAAAACTCAGCCTGGGGTGCCCACCTGCCTGGGCTCACATCTCACCTCTACCACTTAATGCTGGCGATCTCAGGCCTCTCTCTCCTCTTCTGTAAAATGGGGGCAAAATGAAGGGACCTACTTCACAGACTTGCTGTGAGGAGAAAATGGGTTAATATACATAGACCCCATGTGAGCCTGCGCCCCTGTGATTCTTCTCTGACTGCTCTGCATATAAGTCCCCGTTCCCCCTCGACCCACGCTGACAGGTGTTTACCATGACTACGTCCAGCGCATCCGGCAAACTCACATTTAGGGGTGCCCTGGGGGAGAACTAATCGAACCTGAGTGCTCCCTGTGGGGCCAGTGCCGGGAGGCCGGGAAGCGGTGGGGAGACCATGTGGGTTCCTGGCAGGTTCCTCATATTCACGAGGGGTGGGATTTGGGCAGGACAACAAGGACCTGTGTGAAATTTTGCACAGAGGCGCGAGTCCTCTTCCGTGTTTGTTTAAAGAGATGCCGTGCATATTTACAGAGCCAGAGAGTAAAAGAAAATGACAGGCACTGACTTGGTACTTTAAGTTTCTTTAGGGGAAGACAATTTGGGGTATCTTTTTGGAGCTCTGAAAACCACGTTTACACTTGTAAATAAGAGGACTGGCAATGCCATTGCTCTTAACGATGCAGGAAAGTGCAAGATTGTTTCAACTGGATCATTAGTATAAAAGATTCCTTTGTGTCTCCTAGTCTCAGTTAAGTTAGGGGCCAGTCTTTCTGGCCTGGAATCTGACCTAAGCAAGATGCATCCCCATTGAGCTGGAAAGGGTTTTAAGTGTCCCCGGCAGGAAGGGGGAATGGACGAGCTCTGTGGGGAGGTTTAAGTGCAGGGCGGCGTCCTAACACCCGTGCGGAGCAAGATGCTTCTGGTGTTCTGTGTTTGCTTACTTAGTTTCCTCACTTGCAGGATTCAGTATGGTACTTGAACTGTCAGCTTCTGTAGGTTACTTACGTGTATGGGCCTCTAGAGCAGGCTTCCCATTTCCTTACTCAGTGTCACAAATAATTGATTCTGTTGTGAGCCATTATGTCCCCAGTTCAGCACTGTTACGTGTGGGAGGGGTCTGCTTTCGCTGGGCCTGGCTGCGGGTGGGGAGGGGCATCAGGCTCTTCGGGCATGGATGAGGCTGTCCAGCCTCTACGAGGTCTCGCTGAAGGAGCCAAGTTGGAGAAAATGTTCAGTCCCGCTGGGGGAAAAAGTTCCTGATGCAAAACCCAGGCTGGTCACCTTGTGTTAATCATCAGAATACAGAGCCCGGTGCCTGGCTGCTTAAAAGATCAGTGATGGGATTCAGGACAGTAAGAGGTGGGTAGCAGGAAAGGAAATGGCAGGAAATCTCATCTGGATCCCGGCAAATGCTCTGGAAAGCTCATTGTAACTATCTTAAACTGTTGGCTTTTATTTCAAATGCTAATGACTGCTCACTTTCTTGCCTGAGAGCATCTCTCCCTGCTCCACTGCCCACAAAGGAGCACTGGATTACCAGGCCATTGATTCTGTGTGGTTGTTTACTAGTTGTCCCCTCACTTCCAAAGGCCAATCAAAGAAACTCTTCCTCTGGAGGTGCGGTGGGCATGTGCTGCCAGTGGGTACCCCGGCACGCCACCCCCGGCCTGGGCTGCGGCCAGTGCCCTCGGGGGCGGTCCCCTCTCCTGGGCCTCCTCTCCCTTGCCACCCCTCCTGCCTTGCTTGCCACCCGTCCCAGGCCTCCAGGCTTTCTGTCCAGGCTTCGAAAGCTGGCTTTGTTTCTGCAAGTCTCCAGTTAGCCCAGCACTGTAATGAAACCATTTTATATATATATATTTTAAAGTTTTTAAAGCTTTTATTTATTTATTTGAGAGAAAGTAAGAGAGAGACAGCACAAGCAGTGGGAGGGCAGAGGGAGAGGGAAAAGCAGACTCCCCACTGAGCAGGGAGCCTGATGCGGGACTTGATCCCAGGACCCTGAGATCCTGACCTGAGCTGAAGTCAGATGTTTCACCGACTGAGCCACCCAGGTGCCCCATGAAACCATTTTAATACCCGAAGAAACTGATAAGTAAATCACCAGCCACCTGGTAAGTATGACCGGTCTGTTTTCCCCCTCTGGGCTGTCTTGAAATCCACAGGCTTCCTATTCCCCAACACGTGTCCTCTGCCCTCCTGACTCCACTGCACTCTTGTCCGTTCTGCACATATAGCAACAGGTTCCATGCTGTCTCAAAGGCCTCTGGTGGCTCAAGCTGCCTGAGGAGAAGAAGAAATACTACATGGACCAGCCCTATCCAGTAAGGAGCTCTGCATTGTTGGAGATGCTCTGCACCTGCACCATCCAATATGGCAGCTCTACTGGCCATGCGTGGCTGATGACCATTTGAAATGGGGCTACTGTGACTGAGGAACTGAATTTTTACTTTTTTTTTTTTTTTCCTTAGAGCAAGAGAACCAGGGAGGGGAGGAGCAGAGGGACAGGGAGAGACGGAATTTTAAGCAGGTTCCATGCCCCGCCAGGCACCCGTCGTGGGGCTCGATCTCACGAGATTGTGAGATCATGACCTGAACCGAAATCAAGAGTCAGACACATAATTGACTGAAGCACCCAGGCGCCCCCTGAATTTTTACTTCTTCTATTTAATTGTAATGAAATAAATTTCAATAGTCACATGTGTCTAGAGACTACCACATTGGACAGCACAGATACAGACCCTCCTCAGTCTTAATCTCAATTTCCAGCCTATTTCCCAAAACGTTCTGTCATACCTCACATATTGTGAATTTTTCATCCCAAGCCTTGCCTTGGGCTGTGTCCTTCACTAAACCGTCCTCCCCTTCCCCAATCCCATTTCCCATCCATCCACACCCACCCAGATTCCACCTCTTGATGTAGGAGTGGTAAGGCTCAGGAAGGCCTTTGGGATGAGAGGTATTATAGCAGCTGTCTTTGGAAGATAAATTTGCCTTGTGGCCATCAGCAAATTCTACCCAGGGTTGGCATAGACTATACTTGTCTCCAAGTTTGGACTTGTTTCTTTTTCATCTTGTGTCCCTAAGGGGCCACACACATAGTAAGTGTTCTCTATTTCTTAAGTGGATTGAGTCCCACAATATTGTGTAAAAGGGAAAGGAAATCTAAGTTCACTGTTAAACTGATGTTCTCTTGATTAATAAGGGCTTTAAAATCTGTCTTAATGAGCTCTGCCTTGGGTCCCCACTTAAATTACAGGCAAGGACAACAAATGCACTATAATAATAGTGCCTTGTGTGTGTAAATCCCCTTATGTCAGAGTATTTTAAAAGCTTTAGAAACAAATTCTGATATTATGATATATCACCCTTCTCCTTATATATAAACAATCACTAAATAACCAAACTTTGTCATTAACGTGAAACAAATGTTTAGGCTATAAAGTATTGATTCGTATTTTTGGTTATCTCAGCAAATATCTTGGTCCTAAAGGAGTTGACTGTCTTCAGCCCTAATGAATGAAGGGTTCCATTAATAATGAGTTTGTTTGGATAGATCAGAAGTCTTGTATAAGATGTAAAATACCATCGCTATGAGGAGATGCATAGAACAGCTATCTGAAAGACAAGTATAGCTTTCATGGTGGTTACATTTCTATCAGATTCTCCAGATTGGTTTTAAAATGTTAAATCGGAGGCGCCTGGGTGGCTCAGGTCATGATCCTGGGGTCCTGGGATCGAGCCCCTCGACACGGGCTCCGCGCTCAGTAGGGAATCTGCTTGTCCCTCTCCTCCTCCAACCCCCCGCCCCCGCTAGTGCTGTCTCTGTCTCTCTCTCAAATAAATAAAATCTTTAAAAATAAAACAAAATGTTAAATCATTCTGGGCATTATCCTTCTCCACAAATGAGCATTAAGCATCTGCGTGAGGGCACTGTGCTAGGCTTTAACCAGTAGGAGTCACTTTATGTGATTAGTCTGCAAAAACATCCAACTCTGTATTCCAGTGTCCGTGGTCCCACCCTAGTTAGCAAGAAGATAATCAGCATTACTTAATCCTCAGCTCTCCCTGAGGCAGTGGTAGGACGTCAGAAAGTGTGAGATTTAT